AAAACATAAGCAAAACATACTTTTGATTTACCAATTAAATTATAGTCGGTTAATTGAGCCATAAGTGAGCATTACGCGAAGCTGTTGTAACGTAGAACTTTCTGAGCGAAGGGGAATTTCTATTAACTGCGTAATTACTGCCCCCATGACTTGATTGTCTTATATCTGAGCGAATTGGATGTATATGCGACTTTACTAAACTTGTTAAAATATGTGTGATGACAAGAAATCATTCGTGTGGCTGTAATTTCTGATTACTTATTTTGTTTACTGAATAATGAAACATTGACGGATCATGCCGCATGCCCATTCATGCAGCTTTTTTACGGCAATAAGGCACCTCCCTGGGTTTCTATCTACCATAACCCCTATTTTTTTCTCTCATACTTTTACGAGGTCCGATTTTTCGAGTCCTTTTTTTTAGGGATCTCTCTCATGTGAACTGTTATAAAATGATTAGTCAGAACAAAAAGTACAATGCCGCATGTATAATAGTCGCATTGCATGGCATGATCATGGGTAAATAAACGACAAGCATAGTATTTGTAATTTTGACGGTCTTGTGATTTTTATAATGAAAAACGAGGACCATAGAAAAGAAAAGAGAAAGGTCATGGAAGACCAGATGACTTCGGCTTTATGCGGTTATTTACGACATTTAATTATTGTATTGGGCATTGTTCCATTACTATGGTTTGTTGTTATATTATGTTTATATTTATATTTATAGTAGTGTTGTTAAGCTAATAAAGTCTGGTTGCACTCGCTGAAAGATAAGAGTATTGAGTGTAACAAGATAAGATAAGATTCTGTATGTCGATAAGATAATGCATATGATAATGTCATACACTTCTGGCTATCATGGGACTATTCATTGAAATGACTAAGACGAGATAACAATTACAACAATTACACCATACATATTGCACAGTAAAACAATTGTATAATTATGTGTTTATATAATAATAATAATTTATTTATATAGTTATGATTGAAACGACGTCTTATTATGTAACAGCTTTTGTTTATATTAGATTATTCATATCGTCAACAAAGAACAAATGCATCATGAACGAATTTGATCATCGTAAATACAGAAATAGGGGAAAACCCATCTTATCTTATCAGCGCATACAAATAAGAAGTGCCATGACGAATTTTAGGCCGATCAAATTTTTTTCTATTGTCAATATTACAATGTGGTTCACATACATGTCAATTCTTTCACGTGAAAATACCTTCCATTCTCGATTTCTGTCACCAATCAATATTAATAACTTTTGCCACAAAGCACAATGGTTGTCCAACCTGATAAGCTTATTAGACGGCCAATGGATTTTCGTAAACTTATCTTTGATAGCGTCTATGCGGTAACCGTGCAACAAAAATTGACCGAAATGTCATCCCTTTCTTTGCCGGTCTTCGGTGAAAGACGTATAACCGCCATTTCCTCAGCGGACGTAAGTCACATGGATTGTGTAGCAGAGTAATTTCTACTTGTTATCGTTTGAGTGACTACTACTACTACTACTACTACTACTACTACTACTACTACTACTACTACTAATAGTAATAATAATAATGATAATACATCATAATAATAACAAACGACAAGTTGACTTGTATATTATTCAGTGATGTCATTCCTCCCTCCATTGAACAGTGTCGTCATTCCTGTATTCATAATTAAATGTCATACATTAATAAGCTTATCTTTGCACTTGAATTTCCACAACCGGTTTACAACCAATGACCCTATCGTTTCGAACGTTTCGAACGTTTCGAACGATATTGGTATGTCTATTTTATTTCAATCCAGTCTCGTTGCGTTTCCATATCTCCAACCTCTAGAGAAGCCGCAAGCTGTTTCGTTAAACATGTTCCATTCATGTGGTGAAGCCATGCGAGACGGCATTTAATCGGCCTGTAGCGATAGCCGCACGTGGCATAGTCCATCAGCTCGACGTTTCTGTTTATGCAGGAAAAGACGGTGATAGACTCGCACATTATTCTTGTGTACGTGTCAACTATGTGTCATTCAGCAAGACAACTTATCAAAGAAGGGGACCGTGAGGTAAATCCTGTCGACGATCGGAATATAAGAATATTATAACGATTCGAATTACGTATGTCCGGCACTGTTACGTAATATACATATATGGTATCGATCGTGTTACAATGCTATCCCATTTCAGTCTCGGTGAATCGATTTACAATGTCCTGTAAAAGTTAATTTGGCTTTTTTTTTCTTTTTTGCGTTTCTTTTTGGAATATTGGAAAAGACTCCTTATCTGTACGCTGAACAATAAGCAAAACACATTGTATGACTCTACCGGCACATTGTATCGTATATTAAATACTGACTACATGATAAGGACAAATGCAAAAAAATTAATATAACCTGTATTAGAGTGTATTAAATCACGTGAAGGTAATACATGTGTATTATGACATATAGATATGGGACAATAGTAATAGTGCTAATGAAGCGAAAAAAAAACGACGAATTTCATAGTAAATAATATGATTTGTCCATTTAAAGTTCAGGCTAATGTCGGATGCAAAACGGAGTGATTGTCGCACAAGTCAATTAATAGTGGCTAATTGTGGTTACTATTTACTTCCACTATTTACTGCTCAATTTCCTCGAAATTAACCACACCATACAAAATAAATGTCAACAAAGAAGTCTGGACCGCCATGGTCTAATGTGTGTGAGAGATGTTTCTGAGAAGTGCGCCAGAGAATGCGCCAACGTCGATGAAATTCCTACAATGGTAAATAAAAAAAAAATAAAGGAAAGAAAACGTCCATGGAAAAAAGTAGGACCAAATTTAAGGCAATGTTTTTTTTACACAGATTGGTTTACTAGCATTGTATGTGCTGTGTACGGTGACTGGCGCATACCGATAACACTATATGTATAAACATTAGTGGAAAAAACTTTTTGCAGAAATCACATGGTTACGCAAATTGGCGTACTCACAAGTTGTTCGGTACCTACATCGATAGCACCCACCCTCCCCCAACAATACGCATTTTGTCTGTATAATAAAAAGTAAATTAATTGAATGATGCTATTGTTATTGTCGCATTATTTGGTGGCTATTAAGTGACTTGCTTTTTTCTTGCAAATTGACAGGTCGTTTTCTTAATTCTCGATAAAATATGGATTGTACCCATTTTTGTTATGCACATTTGTTTAACAGCACTCTTCTACTTCGAACCAACTGCCTAAATTAGACATAAACCAATGGACTTACCGTCATTAAAATTAATCCTGAAAAAAAAAAAAAACTGTACGTTCGGTCTCGGCCTCGCACGTTTTACAATACCATACTCTTTTCTCTCTTTTTTTTCTCTTCATTGGGCGTTTTTGGTAGGCTTAGCGTTGTGCATCGGGTAAATACGAGAACTAGTCACGTTTTATTCCAAATTTAGGTTTATCTTATCTCGAGTCATACAATCCCAACGGGGAAGAGCTCCGTTGTGTTTGGGGTTACAAAGTGTTGTAAGCAGTTAGTGAAATGGTTGACAGACGGCCAATTATGGCTTATCAAAAGAATCAAAAAAAGTATGGCGCTTCCCCAACTATGAACCCAACATGTATTTTTAATATTACGAGTTCTTGTCCCAATGCGGGTAATTAATCAAACAATTTGTTGTGACATTAGATAATGTAACAATTCGTATGTTAAAATCATGTGTGTGGGAAAAGTAATATATATTCCAAGTCTATTATTACTATTATTATCGTTTTATTATTGTAACAGCTTGCTCATTGTTACACACCTAGCTATTTTAACAGGCTATTCTTTTATTCACACTAAAAGCATTCCATTTACGATTACTTCAAAAGAAAATTTAAACAATGACTAGTCTAAATTTAAATATCAAAATATCTTCTGCCCAGTGACATTTGCGCGTCTCTTGCGACAGACCTCATGTACTTCAATTTCGTCGAGGAATTCTTCCCATCCCTTGTCAATTTACGTACCCACGTTTAACTAAATTCTATCTACTCTAACGAGAGCTATGGCCTCATAGCACAATTCCAAAAGAGTGTTCGTGAGGTACTTACTGTCGGATATAAGATGTGTGTCCATCCAAGTGACTCTCGAAATAACTTTTGGTTTATTTACCGGTCTTTGTGTCGTCTATGATATCATCAAAGTGATACCAACACCTTTTTGACCAATAAAATACCCAGGTGCATACGCCAATAGTAGTAGTGTAAATATAATTGGTTCGTTACCGGTATGCTCAAGGCAAGGTATGCACCCTCCTTCTTCTACTCCCCTCTCCCCAACATAACTCAAATACACCCTTGTACATATATCCCTCTTTTTTTTTTTTAGTATAAATACAACCGCTTTGAAAGCTAGAGAACTCCAAGACCTTTGGGTTAGCTTACGAACAACAAAGCAGCTGCGAGTAAGTGTATACCACTTCCTACTCTAATACAACCGAACTAAGTACAGACCTCCAACTCTGGTTTATTATTATACCTCTCATATTCGTCTTTAACAGTAGACGTATCATCGCCTTATTTATTATTGTTTGTTATTATTTTTATTTATTTATTTTATCCTATTCAACCTTTGGATACCATGTTCTACTTTTGAGCACTCGGTCTCCATCGTATTTTGGTCATTTTTAAAAGTATTATAACTATTCGGACTATATACCATGAATTATTTCTATATGCTAGGTGGGAACCACGTAGGAAACGACGTTGATTGAACTTAAAACACTGAAAATTTTTTATATCATCAAATCAAATTTATTATTATTTAATCACGTGACATTATAAAGCCCCAGCTGCAACTGCAAAAATCTGTCGGCCGCAAAATTCCAATCCAAAAAAGTTTTGAGCATTAGCCAACTCCCTAATTATTATTGTTCCACTCGACAAACAAATCTTCATCAGCAACAACCTTTTTCCATAAACCACTTGTACTTTTCACTTAGTTTAATTCATAATATTTACTCTAAAAAAAATGGGACCAAATCAATTCACACCTGGCTCTTTCCTCTTTTCTCCGCATATCCAAGCCATTTGCGCGTCGGGAAGGGATCCCGAAGATAAGGGTCTATCAGTACAAATCCCATATACTGCCTTCACAAGTTCCCCAGAATCACTATCCGATAACGACCTCATGACTTTCGACTCTGAATTATCCGAAGACAAACTTCAACTCTTTTTGAGTGGAACACCATTTGCAAGTCAGTCTATCCAATGGATGGATAACGATTTATTCGTCGACGGAAGTGATGTAATGCTCCCAAGCCCCACTGAAGAAGGCGACCTTTCGCCGGAACGTTTAGACTCCCCAGTAAACAGTCCTCCTTATGGCGATGGTGAGCTTGGAAGTGGGGGTTTCGCGAATGGCCAAGATGATGTGATGTTAAATGGATTGGATGATGGGTATTTGCCTGCCACCTATGGATATTACGGATATATTACCGACGCAAATACCATCAGCACAGGCCTATTGAAAGAAGGATACGTTAAACCAGAACAGACAGAATGTGGACGTGCATCGAGTAAGTAAGACTTTTATATAGAGTCTGTTTAATATAACTTGCAAAAAAAAAAAAAGGGATTTATTCTAATTTCGGTTGGGATCATCCATAAATAACCAGGCCCTTCATCTCCTCCCCCGTCACCAAACATGCACCAAATAGTCCAACCATCAGATGTGACTCCACCACCAACGAAACGCTCCAACTCAAAGAAACACTCTAGCACTAAACCACCACGTCAACTCGAATGCTTCAACTGCGGCGTAACGAAAACCCCTCTCTGGCGACGCACTCCTGATCGCATGCATTCTCTCTGCAACGCGTGTGGTCTCTACTACAAACAATACAATACACATCGCCCGCTACATATTCGTAACAAGCCAAGCGCAACCAGCGGACCGTACAATCTCACCACGTCGAGAAAATCCTCTTCTTCCTCTTCGTCATCCACCTCTAGTAACAGCAGCAATAACAACGTGAACAATGACGTCGTATCTCCCACTTCGTCAGCCAGCACCACACCTTACTTACAACCACCCCAAGTACCCCGACAAGCGCAACAGCTTCAATCATCGTTGACGAACCCTATACCCGAGTCCCCTCGATGTGTAAACTGCGATCAAACCCAAACACCGCTCTGGCGCAAGAACGAAAAAGGTCAACCTATCTGCAACGCCTGTGGTCTTTACGCTAAATTACACAACCGCGATCGTCCAGTGGCAATGAGAAAGGCAAAAATCCAACGTCGCCGGCGCGATTGGGGTGCAAATAATCCGTCTGGGAATGGAAGTGATAGTGGATGTGCAGATATTGATGACTGCTCGCCGATTACACCAACCAGCCCACAATTTCCGTTGCCTATTCAAGCGTCCATAATTCCCGGGCAACGTCCTATTATGCCGTTATTGCAAACAGGTGCCAATGGCGTCTTTTCCGATCAAGGTCTGGGATTCGCGGACCAGATTGAGGATGATACCAAGTTTCAGAATTTTGTTACAAAGCTTTCTCGAGACGAATTGGAAAAATGGTTCTCCATGTTCAAGCGTAGGTGTGATTTATTGAAGAGCGTGCTTGAAGATCAGATCTAAAGCTGGGGCGACAAAAAAGCTTTAATGTCAAAAAAACATATTTTATATATATATACATACTATCACCTAAAAAATTATAGTAGATAAGTAACCAATTCAACGTTACAACTGAATATATTCTTATCCCCCATATAGATTAACAAAAAATTACTAGATATTTCTTTTTTTTTCTCTCTCTCTATATCTTTTATTGCATGCACGAACATTTCAGTCTCCGCAGTAATTTTTTATTCTCTTATCCAAGTATGAAAATATTCTTTTATATATCAATTATTGGACAGTATCTATCACTGATGCCTCTTCCGTGAAGAGTTGGTCTTTTGTATAAATTTTCCTTTTTTTTTTTTTCCTTTTTGCCATACTTTTATCTCTCCATTGTAGTATTTTTACCTTCATTCTGTTTCATTTTTTAGCTTTAAACTTTATTATCATGAGTTAAACAATTATTGACATTATCTCAAGTTATGATATAAGCACAATTTATATAGCTTCATCTCCAATCAATTATTCGTGGTTTATGTTATAACTTTTCCTTTTCTATTTTATTTTTAAAATACTCTTGCTTTATTCTTTCAATACTAGAAATAGAGCAATCGAGTGTGTAAAATTTCCCGATAAAAATAATATTAAAATAAACAATTGTAAAAGAAATTCAAAATGATGTTTGCGCATTTTGGTTTTCACTCTTGTTGCGCGAGGAATGCTTTAGCTTGTAAACGCTAGCTTATCCATCGAACGAATTCATTCTTATCCACTTTTCTTATACTTATCGAGAATTGTGTAAGACACCTTAGAGAATACCATGGGCTAAATTCTCACCTGTGCTGCGAACAAACAACAAACAAAAACGCAAGTAACAATAACACAATAACAATAACGGCGATAACAACAACAACCACCACCACCACCACCACCACCACAATAACAACAACAACAACAACACACACAACAATAGTAACAACAATAACAGTAATAATGAACAATAGCTCATGATGACGTCAATTATGAGTTCAAGTTGTTCGTAAAAATAGTAATAAGTAAACGTTGGGCAAAAAGTTGTGTTTTTTTTTCAGGGCAGAGATTGGAACATCTCGCTCTTTATCTTGACCTACCGTTTATCTTGTTCGCTACTGTTTCGGATGCAATGAGTTCGAAACTCATCGCACGTTTAGCAAAGTCAATATTTCATTCGAGTATCTATAGTATTGCAGAGAATGTTACAACAGATAAGAAACGATTAGACCAAATAAGTCGTACCCATTGTGAGAGTTCGTGTATGCGTAACGACCCGGTTTTGGCTAAACAAATTGTATCGTTAATATGCTTTTGGGAATTATAGAATAGATTAATGTTAGTATGTTAGAAAAAGTGCGACTAATTTGTTAACCAATTATTAATCGATATATGGAACTTGATAATCCAAACAATATTAATTCCTTGTGTAGAACTATA